AGCATCCCTTTTTGATCCAAAACTCTCTTGCCCATGTGGCCTAAGTTTCCTCAATTTTAGTAATCTACTCCCCTTATCTCTTTAACACAATTTTTTGGATTCTCCCTGTCCCCTCAATATTTTTTGAGAAAGACAATTACGGTAACGGTGTAAAAAAGATCTGAACTATTAATCAATTTTAGTCTCATGTTCATTCATGAATTACGCTTTAAAAGAGAATTGTTCGGTGTATCTCGGTGCATCTCATCAGTGTTGATATTCAAAAAAAATTTTATTAACTTGGATATCCAACTCGCTATGCGACCACCTGCTTTGCAAATAGCCCAAAGTCACCGTATTTGAACCTATGTAGCCAAAAGAGAATTTTTATTCCTCCTTGGATTTGAAAGGACCTCCTGGTACTTTTGAAATTTGGAGTCAAGCTCAAACCAATCAGATGTCACCCTTGTGGTTGTTGATATTCAATTATTATGATCCAAGTATGGAGATATTTTCTTACGCTTCTCATCATAACTTCTTTGTTCACCGGAACTTAACCCAAGACGTATGATAGTGAGATATTTAAATAAAAAGAGTAAATTTCTACGTAATATTGGGTTTGTGAAAACTGGACTATACATACGTATAGGGTTTTTATTTGATTAAGTCTATATATATACCCTCTCTGTCCCTAAATGTATGTCTACAGTGAAAAAGGCAGTTAGTTTTAAGAATGTATAATTATTACATTTTTTATTATTAACTAAAATGCAATCTTAATCTTAATAATAGAGAAACAAATAATTATTAGCTCATAACCAAGGGTATAATAGAAAAATAAAAATTTACTTTTGAAAAGTAAAGACTTATTCTAAAAGAAACTAAATTAGAAAGATAGACATTATATATATATATACACACACACAAGTGGAAGTTCAAACGGTAACAAATTCATTTTACGAAAACTTGAGAAAACCATTATCATCTATGTGATAATACGTGTGAATGGACCTAGTAGTGTACGGTCACCGTGTCCCACGAGTTAGGTCACACCAAAGATATATCGTCTACGTCTTTTAGTATCATATGTGATGATCTTGATAGATTATAGTATCACTTCAGTAACACATTTATCACATGTGATAATATATGTTAGGGGACTTAGTGGTGTAAGAACGACTTGGCCCGCAACCTAGATCATCCCAAGAGTCGTCTCCGTCTCTGATTAAGTATCACATGTGTATCATCTGTGATGAAATAATAATATCATATGTAATTGTCTATAGAAAAATGGTGCTCTCGCGTTCTCGTAAAATTAATATGTTATCGTTTTATATATATATATATATATGTGTGTGTGTGTGTGTGTGTGTGTGTGCGTGTGTGTGTGGGGAAAAGATCCAGATAAAACCATGAAAAAACCCAGAGAACCATGAAAAAACGTAACAAAATAAATGTCAAATGAAGATAATAAAATTATCGTTTTTTAGTGTAATTTGTTTTACTCCATTTTTTTTGATTTCGTTGATTTTTAATTTAAAATTTAGAGGAAATATTTGTATTTAAAAAAAATGATAACCATTTTTTTAATCATAAGATCATCTCAATTCAATAATTTAAATGAATTCTTTGTTTCTTTTGTTTTTTTAAGACTAGAAGGGTACTCACACAATGTAGCGATATATATTTCGATTTTAATGTTTCGTTTTATTTTTTTTTTGTCTCAGTCGATGTTATAATGTGGTTTTGAGAAATCGATAATGTTTTTATTTTTGAATAAAATATAAATATGAAGATATCATAAAAAAATAATTTTTTTTTATATTCGTACCAAACTAACTATTTAAAAATTTCTCCTTTTTTGTGTATTTTCTTAATTCATTTTCTTTATTTTTGGTTTAATAATATAATTTTTTATAAAGATAATGATCAAGTATTTTGTTAGAAGTCAATGATTATCCTAACTATATTTTATATTTAAAATGAGATATTTATCCTCTATTTGATTATGTTTGTTTGCAGTTAGTTACACTAATTCAAACATAAAACTTTAATAACCTGTACTTATGCATAATTTACTTGTAATATTAAATTTTAAGTAATATGCATCAATAAACAATACTTCATGCATAAAAAATAATTTTTAAAATTTTTTGTCAAATATTTTATAATATAATATAAATTATATATATTAATATTAATAGAAAGCAAAAGATAAAGAATACATGCATGAGGGGATAATAGTCCAAAACAAGCCTTTAATGCATAAATAATAATATCGTATTTTTGCAACTTGTAGTTCCATTTCTTTTTGATAAACAAAGTGATATACGCTTTAAGGGTTGTTACCTTTTTTCTTCCGGATCATTCTATTTAAATAAACTTGTCTGTGTGGGGTAGGGGTGTATAAAAACCTAACGGGGTTCTTTGTTTACCTCTTAATAGTTTCATTAAGAGACAACATCTGAATCGTTAAAAGGTGAATCTTGTTTGTCAAAAAAATATGTCTCTTATTCTAAAACTCTCAGAATGGTTTTGTATCTTCAGTCTCTCTTAACCATTCAACACTATAATTTTAATCTGAATAATTACCAAACAATTATATTTCATTTTGCACTATATTACAAAAGTCACTTAATCTTTCTGCATCAAACCGTTCAGCAACTGCCAAATAGCTCATAAGCTAACAAATTCAATCCGAAATAATCTAATTATACAATTTCAATTGTAATTTTACTTTTTTATTTGCATGAACCTTTAACTTTTTTTCTTTGATTTTGTTGCATGTTTTGACGGACCTGTAACTTTTAATGCACAAAACTGCATGTTAGTTATTTTCTTATTGTCTGAATGTTGAGTTTGTTACCACATGTTCTAGGAGTAACCAATGGCGGATCTAAAAATTTATATGAGTGTCAAATTGACTTGAGATATTTCAATCGCAAACATTGAGTTGAGTTGTTCAAATGTCTTAAACCCGACCAACCAAACATGTGTGCATCCCTAGCCTAGGGGATAGGGGACCGATGGATTTGAGGGAGGCAAAGCGAAAGAGTTGGATTGTTTCAAGGGAATTTCTGGTATTAATTTGTTTGAGGTGGTTTAATGGGGTCAAGGGGTCTTGACTTATTACATGTAATCATTTTGACTTAATGACTTAATGATTAAGTCATTAAAAACACTCATGTATGGTTTAGTGAATAAGCCGCTCAGATCAATAAACGCTCATGTACACCTTAATAGGTAATATAGATAAAATATCAGTAAATCACATTTACTTTGATGTTTTTATTTTTAGTTTAAGTAACATATTTTTTTAAATATTATTTTTATATTTAAGATTTGATATTTCAAGCATTTAAATATCTTGTGTATTTTATTACTTGAAAATGTTATATAAAATTAGGTTTTTACTCGTGTGACATCATTTTTTTTTTATTTTTTAAATACCAATCAAGCAAAAATGTTCAATATTTTTATTAAGCAAAAAGATTTCTAGTATATATTTTAATATATAATGTTGAATTTTGCCGATAAGCATTTACCCGGATAAGCGTTTGGTAAAAGGCTCATTAATCTGATTATAATATAAATAGAAGTGTATATAACACCTTATATATATACATAATCTGTGAAATCGATATTTTGGTACCGAGTTTTTATCAGTTTCATCTTGTTCAAACCAACCAATTCGATTTGACTGGTTTATTTAGTTGTGATCAAACCGTATGAACATTTTTGTGTGGAAATGAATAAACGATATTTCTATCCACTAAAAATGAAACAAAACATGCAAAAAGCACCCTTTTAAAGTCTTATGAGATATATGAAAGACTCCTCATTAATGAAATGACGAGATGGTCCCCTAAAAATTTAATAAGTAAAAACAAAACTGGTTAAATGCATCAATAATCATTAGAACAAAATGAACGACAAATGGGTTGTGTAGTAGATTAAAATAACTACGAGTTGAAGCAAGTTTTCTAGATGAGGCTCAAAACATAAGTCGACAAACAATGCTAAGTAACATTTTGACAGTCCCAAACAATCAGGTGAAAGTAGAGTGTAAATCTGACTCAAACAACTATCACGTAGCAGGATCTCCCGTGCCCTGTTAAGATCTGCCATGATTGCATACTTCTTTGACACCATCAAGGGTCATGTATCGAATGGTTTTAGCTTGAGCACGATCCAAGCTCTACGATCAGCACACATCGTGTACAAGCTTTCAAAAAGTTCACCAAAAATTGTACCATAGCACACAAGCAACAACACAACTTAAGTATTGTAGCTAAATTGCTTGGAATCCCCATATGCAACCAAGATGACATAGATAGGTCACATAGAAGGTCTAGACTAGACTGTCTAGTGAGTTGAGGGGCATATATCCAAACACACAATGGAAGTTATTGTTCAAGCAATTTGTAATTTTACAGAAACTTGAGATAGAGGGCATGACATGTGCCCCAGATATTCATCGGTTATTCATCATGAATGATGTATCATTAATCATGAATGTTCATATTCATCATTCATGATAAACATGAACAACCGGGGACACGTGTTACGCTCTCTTTCATCCCTAATTTACAATGGAAAAAAGGTTTAAGATTAAACTTTCATCTCTCCCCCTCTCTCTTTCTCTCTCTACGTATACGTGTATGTATATATATATATATATATATATATATATATATATATATTCATATTCGAGTGATAAATACAAAAGCAAATGAAGGTATGGTGACATCTTTATAACCAATAAATATTGATTTATTCCTGAATTTACAACCCCCAACCCCCCCACCACCTCTTAATCCATACCCCTCCCCCACCGGTCCTCCCAAGTTGCCACTTTCTCTGTCTCCATTCCCTACCCTTTATACACAATCAAAACTGTATCAACTATGAGTTAAAGGGAACCCTCTTGAATCCAGCTTAGCTGCCAGCCCATTTCCATATCATACCTAGCTTCTACGTTCCATCACATCCTATAATTCCCCCTAACCCCACCCCATTTTACTCAAACTATGAAGATCCAGTGCGACGTCTGTCACAAAGCCGAGGCCCAAGTTTACTGCACCGCCGACGAAGCCTCCCTATGCTCCGCCTGCGACCACCGTGTTCACCATGCTAATAAGCTCGCCAATAGACATCCGCGTTTCTCTCTCCTCCATCCTTCTCTCAAAGACTCCCCTCGCTGTGATATCTGTCAGGTATCGCAAAATTTTGTGAAAGTAGATTTGTATCGATCGATTTGCATCTCTAACTAATTTCAAATCTAATGCGAATTCAATGCTTATGAATTATGAAGTAGAATTGTGCACGATTTGCATCGTTAACTAATTCCAAATCCGATGCATAATTCTATCCTTGTTCTCAGAAGATTTAATTCGGTTTTTTTTGTTGTAAAACGAAGCAGGAGAGGAGAGCGTTTCTGTTTTGCAAAGAAGATCGAGCAATTTTGTGCAGGGAGTGCGACATTCCGATTCACAAGGCGAACGAACACACGCAGAAACACACTCGATTTCTTCTCACTGGCGTTAAACTCTCGGCATCGTTATCGTGTTATGATGATTTATCGCATCAAACTCCATCGTCGTCGAATTCCAACTGTTCGATTGAAATCGAAAGCACAAAAGGCTCTGGTGTTTCGATCGATCAAAAAAGTGTTTCAATAACTAATCATTCAGATTATAGTGTGAGCTTTAGCCAAGAAGAAGGTGCTTCAATGGAGGCCAGGAGTATTTCTGAGTATTTGATGGAAACGTTGCCCGGATGGCATGTTGATGAATTCCTCGATCCTTATGGCTTCTGTAAGTTTCTAAAACTATTCGAATTTGGTACCTTTAGTTTTAAAAGTTACACTTTTTACCCTTATAATTTACTTACATGTTCACATTCGCCGAATTTTTTTATAATTTGTATAAATTCAGTCCTTTTACAAACACTTATTTTCGTCCGTATATATTTGGTAACAAATGTAAATTATAATCTTAAATATAAAAATAAAGCATGATAATATAATTAAAAAATTACGATAATGATCAAAACTAAAAACAGTATAAAACACACCAAAAATCTAATCAAATTGAAAATATATTTTAATAATTAAGTTTAGTTATTGATTAATTATCTAAAATACCTATAAATAATGATAACGCGATTGAGAACTAGGGAACCATCAAGAATACGACATGTGTCCGGATTTATAAAGAATATGAGACGAGACATTCATCATGAATGCTGTAAAAAAAAAACTTACATCCATATTCATTATGAATATGGACATCTGACACGTTCTTGATGATTCTCAAGGAAAACGAGGTTCTTGACGAAACCTCCCTCCATATATGTATATACACATTACCTTGAAATATGCGTCAAAATATATATATATATACACACACACACACACGGAGAGAGAGAGAGATGAATTATTATACAACCCTTTACATTTGTACAATCAATACAACTTAATCTCAATCGTTCATTTAATTTGATAAATATATAATTTCATAGAAGTTTTGATTGTTTCCTAATATAAAGTATTGATCATAATTAATTAATCTTATTCATTTTTCATAAATATTTAAATCATAATAAATAAATTCTCATTATTTTTATAAATATTTCAATTGATTGGGTTAAATTCACTAATTTTGAATTATTCGAATTTAAAAAATAGTTATGTTTTATAATCTCTCATTTTGATATTCATTGACAGGCTTATAACAAGCGTATTGCCATTTATGGCATATGATCCGACAGCCATGCCAATTTTAGGTTGTTCATGACATGGGCATTTGTGTAAATTCCTCTTCACATCAAGAATGTTGGTCAAAGGGACTCATCAATGAAGTTTAATCAGAGAGATCCATGTAGACCAACAAACACAGTTTTCTCCTTTCAATTTTCATCATCCAAAGTGTAAATAAACGAAATCCCACTTTTGCCCTTGTGGTTTTTTTTGGGGGGTGTTGTGCCTTTGTTTTTCTTGTGTGGTTGGCTTTTTTATGCATCAATGAATAAAAATATCGCATATAGAGATTCTTAGAGTCCGTTTGGTTTGTAAGAATACAACTTAAAAACATGGTGGAAGTTATTGGTAGCTCACTAATTGAGACTTATAAAAAGCTAACTAATTCTCATCGTTTATCCATATGGGACATATTGTTATAAACTCCCCCATTTAAACTCCTGACGTCCTCGTCAAGCCCACCCAGAATCTTCCCTCCTTGTCATCGACAATGTGGGATTCGTCTAAGATGTTACAAACACCCCCTCTCGATGACTCATCATACCCGATAGGGTTTGCCTCACCATCCCGATGGTATAAGGATCGGCTCTGATACCATTTGTAACACCCATACAGTCCAAAGCAACAGACTGACCAATAACTTCGAATCCAACTTAAAACAATGGTGGAAGTTATTGATAGCCCACTACTTGAAACTTATATGGAGCTAACAATTCTCATATTTTATCTATATGTGACGAGTTGTTACAATTTATGTATCATCGAGTTTAATTGAAGTCTATAAAACTTCGAAAGCATGCATTTTCCTGTATATTTTATTTACATGAAACTTCAATTATGAAAATAAATTTTGGTTATTCGAATCGTTTTTGACTATTTCACCATTAATCACATTATTTTTCAAGAAAACTCTTGAAAAAACAATCCTCCATTTTTCAAATGAATCTAACAATCAACCTTGCATTTCACAATTAAAAGTGAAGAAAAATATAAAGAGAGTAGCCAAAAAAGCAACCATTCAGGTACGGATTCAGAATTTTTTTCAAACGGTGGCATCATTTGACCATAAGAAACAAATATACGAAAAAAAAATTCAACCGGTGACACCATTTGATTAAGAAAATGACACTAACACGGTTCGAACTTAGGTCTGGGGTGGAATAAAAAGACTTGCAAACCAACTCTACCAAATAAAACTTGTTCTCATTGTAGTTTCAAAATACATGCGGTGGCAGACAACATATTAACACGGTTGCACCTTTCACGAACCTAAGATTTTTTAACCTTCAATTGAGGAATAATACCACCACGTCCATGCAACCATTGACTTGTCAAAGGGTCATTGGTCCTGGAAAAACATTAACGTTACGAGGAGATCCCTATTTTTTAGAGGTTAATAATTCAAGCCTTACAAAAATAGAAAAGTACGTACGAGTTTTGTAATATATAAATATTACAGTATATATTTAATAAAAAGGACTATTAGTTTCGATTTCTCCTAAACCAAATAGCATCTGAACAATGTACATTAACGAACAACAACAAATCAAAATGGGCTTGGAAATGAAGTCACCAGTATCAAATCTAACTATGAAGAATATGTTGACATAAACTCAAAAACATGATTCGAATATCAGTAAATTTAAATCATCAAATACTTGAACATAGAAAATCGACAAAAATATGATAAATCACAGATGATTGACGAAACAAAAACTACACACAGAAAACCATAATCTATTCCTTTCACCCCTAGCCATATTTTTGTATGTCAATTCTGTATACGGATTACAATAGATCAAGTTTTGCACAATATTTGATTTTGACAGTACATTCGAAAAGTTTAGAAAAAATACTAAACATTAAGGATATTCAGATATAATTAAAGAAATGTTTTATACATCATCCTTTATTACCAGTAAAGAATATTATATATATATATATATATATAGAGAGAGAGAGAGAGAAAGAGAGAGAGAGAGAGAGTAGCGATCAAATGCAAACCACTCAATTTGTACAAACCGTGCAAACCACTTTCATCCGTCGATTTCATTGTTTAATTTTATGAAATTATTTCATGAAATTGTTCAATCTTGTGAAATTGTTTCATATAATACTTTTTTTTTTATGAAGTTGTTTCATATATGGTTATGAAATTGTTTCATATAATACTTAATGAAATTTTAATGAAACTGTTTCATGTATTTCTCTAAAATTAAAATAATGAAGATGATAATATCCATGATTAACACCCTTCATAATAAAAATGATTAATCAACCTCTCATAATTACAAAAAAAAAAATAAACAAAATGAAAAATTATGATTGGTTGAATGAGGTTTGCACGGTTTGTACAAATTAAATGGTTTGTATTTGATCGCTCCTCTATATATATATATATATATATATAATATGTAGCAATATCAAATAAAGCAAAACAACTTGATGAATATTTAAAAATTAATCAATAAATTAAAAAAAAATAAGAAAATAATATGTAAGTATGGGCAAATCAAAGGGGGGATAAGCATTAGATTTTGGTATTTTATTGTAATTAAAAAATGGATATTTTATATGGTAAATAGTTGTAAAGTAAAATGCATAGATATTAAAGAGGAGGAAAAAGACATAGGAAAAGATGCAATAAAATCTAATGGGTGATGAGATCCAATGTAGAAGGTAGGAATGAAGATGATATCTTTTTTATGGTCCCCAACCCAACCACAAGGATATTGTCAAGCATGGGTTCTTTTGAACTATGCATCCCCACAACCAAAACCCCCTTTTTTCTTTTCTTTTCTTTCTAAAACATCTCAAGAACTACTGGACACGTGGCGTGCTCTCGGTAGTTCCTCAGTTCACAATAAAAATGTGGTTCTTACTTGAAATTGCCCCTACGTATATACAGTGTCTATATGGCATAACCATCGCCAATATCCTTCCTATGTTTCCGGTATCTTCACGCCACTGCCTCACCTCATCTTCTCTGGTGAAACTCACTTCCCTCATTTCTCTGATAAACACTGAGGCCAGCAGGGGATGATATTCATTAAATCTTTGGAATGTGATATTCATGAACACGTGTATAGTTGTATACGTATGTTAGGATGATCATATTCACATACTTGTCGATATTGCACAATTACATGAATACTCTCAGATGGTAAATTGATTAAAAGGATTAAAAACAGACTTTATCTTGATGGAGGGTTATCGTGGATTTGTTGGTTTGTACGATTTGTTTGGTTTGCAAATGATTGAGAATCTAATATGTATATGCAAGGACGAAATTACCTTCGGCTCAGAGTAAGCCCATGCCCACCTTGCGATACTTTCCAAAGTTTTTCATAATGACCCAAAATATGATACAGTTCACTTCCCATTCCAGACACACCCTTGAACCTACGTAGCTACCTCATGACTAACCCATAAGTCTAGAATAGAAGCATCTCGCCATTGGACGATTATCACAATTACATTGTGATTAATTACACGAGCCTCACAATTACTACCTCACTTCATCTCTTTGACTCAATTGTTATATTAATAGGTACTTCTGTGTTTGATTTTAGTAATGAAATGATCCTTCTGTATATTAGGGTTTTTTTTGCAACATACAAACACATTTTTTCTTCTTTGTAATTTTTTTATTAACTTGGATATCTAATCCGTTATTCGAGCCGACAAATTTCAGGACGATCACCTACTTTGCGGGTAGGCCAGAGTTACCGCATTTAAACTCCATGGCCACAGAGGGATTTCTATTCTTCCTTGAATTTGAACTTGGGACTTCCAAACACTTTTGACTTTTAGAGTCAAAGTTCAGACCAATTAGATACCACCCTTGTGGTTATATAATTTTTACCAAAAAAGAAACTTAAAAAAGTCAAAAGGAGTTAAAAGTTTGATCTTGTAATACCAGTTATAATGACACTGTCAAAAGGTAACAACCATTTTTTTGTTAACTTAATGGAATTTAAAACGAGTGCACATTCTGAAATATTTTCTATTACAATAGCTGATCAAAATGTAGTCCGTGTACCAGAGCTTTATATCTAAAGCTTTTCCCAAAGCTCTTAAAATTAGTCAAGATGTGCGTAAGCTACCCTGGACACTTATAATTAACAAAAACAATAAATAAATAAAAGAAATAGGGACATAAAATAGATTATAAAGTAAGGGGTCGTTTACTAAACTCTTACTTGGTAAGTGGTTACCGGATAAATTTCCTTATCAGATGAACATGACAAAGGCCAATAATCTTACCGGGTAAGAGCGATGAGAATGATGAAGAGTCTTACTGGGTAAGTGAAGATGACGACTCTTACCAGGTAAAATGTTGCATTCGATACGTTTTGATGTACTAAAATCTTACGCATTAAAATAAATTATAGTGTTGACTCATATCAGTAAGCACTTACCGGATAAGCATTTAGATAAACAATACCTAGCAAAATGGAATTTGTATTTATAGAAGGTTGGTATGGGGAAGCATGGGGGTTTTGTGAAGATCAAAGATCTTTAAAAGTACTCTTGGATATGTCCTCCTTATTTGGACCAATCTATTCATAGATATGATTTGGTATTTATAGTTTTCCATTATTACCCATACTTGTATGTTTTATAAATAAAATAAACACTATATTACATTGAATATTAAATATAAGAGTTTGTTTCAAATGCAACCCATCACATTTGTATAATTATTGCAACCTAATAAATTGAAATATTTATGAAAATAATGAGAGTTCATTTACTATGATTTAAATATTTATGGAATGTGAATAAGGTTTATTAATTATGATCAATATTTTATATTATGAAACAATCAAAACTTCTATCAAATTACATATTCATCAAATTAAATGTACGGTTGAGATTGAGTTGTATTGGTTGTACAAATGTAAAGAGTTGTATAATAACACACCTCCTAAATATAATCCTTCTTTTAAATTAATTACACATTTGATAGGTGGTTATTTGGTTTATTTAACTAATTCTTTTAATTACTTTAGTTAACTCAAGGGCCTTTAGGTCTTTTTACTTTTTTATTTTTCTTTTTTTCAATTTTGTTTAATATTGATTTTTTTTTGTCTTTTATTCGTAACATCCACCGTAAAACATTATATTTATTTATTAAACTATTTCGTTTAGATTTAATAATAATAATATATAATTAATTATTATAGTAAAGAAATAACTATTTTTAAAATTTTTAAAACAAATTAAGTTATTAAATTTTTTAAAAATAATGTAACAAATTAATAAATAATAAATATTACTGGAAATATTACATTTATTTATCTTATCAGAATTATAAATAATTAATCTCGATTGATATTCACTCAAATTTCGTTATCTAATTTTCTTTTAATATTAAGTGGCAACCATAAATAACAAAGATATAATTTATTCTAAAATAAAATATCATTATTATATTTTAATTTATGCAAATTGTTATATTTTGTTTAGATTATAACAAATTATTTAAATAAATTCGGGTTATATTTGTAGATGTGCATCTAATTTTTTTTTTTAAATTGTGGTACTATTTGACTATTAAAAAAAAGATATGAATATTTTTAATTCATATTACAATTGGTATGTAAGTTCTTTGATTTTCATACATGAGCTCATGTGTTCAAGTTTGAAATTAAAAGTTAAAAACTAAGAAAATGATATAAATAAATTCGAACTTGCACACAACATATATGGTTGCACAAAACAAAATGATACGGTAACACATTTCACGACCTTAAATTTTTTATACTATGACAGATGAACGAAGTGATGGCCCGTATCACCGTATGTCCGTATGCTCTAGTATAGATCCGCCCCGTATATTTGTAATTTTCCGTTAGGTTTCTCTTAATGAAAATTATTTTATCATAACACAATTTGTTCATTAGTGCATGTACTAATAAAATGTTGTTATTTTACATATATTTGACAGTAATAAGACATTTGAGATAATTAGAGGTATGGTGCTTAAATGGACAAAGAGATTAGATGGATCGGTCTAGATCAAGCCAGATTATAACGTCATCAAGTTAGACCCAACTTGTTCGTCGGCCTTAATTAGTCCAAACTTTTTTGAGATAACTTGTTCCTGAACGGGTCGTTTTTAGGATCAAAGCCTAAATAATTGGATAAAAGGTAGTACTTGAATCGTGAATCGTGAAAACTAAACAAATTAATAATGGTAAGATTAAGAGTTATTACAAGTACTAGTTATTACTAATGCATTAAACTGATTTTTCTAAGAGTTAAAAAATCATACCAAACGGACTACAATAGTAACAGATCAAGCCATATTGATCTAGACCGTTGATCCTAACTCTACTAGATTGAAACTGATCGGATTTTCTTGGACTGGTTTGATCAAACTGTTGAATAAACCGGATTTTCTAAGACCGGTTTATGCCCATCTTTTGACCCGTGGTCCACACATCCATACAAGGCTATACTACTTGGCATATTTTCCATTAACACGTTAGTTGTAGTTCTTTAAAATTCATTAAGAAATTTCTTGCCTATTTTAGACATTTTAGAATTCTTTCATAATGTATATATCTTTAGACTTATTTAATTATAAATCACATAATCATCAGCCATTACAATCGACCCACATCACCGATTAAAAGTGCGGAACAATATGAATAAGGATGTTCTAGTATAATATAACAAAACAAGCAGATTTTTTGATTAAAGAAGAAAAAAATAGAAAAGGGAATAACATAATACATAAACGAAGATGCATCTGGTGTCTAGCTCAATTGACATAGGACTACATGACAAGTCCTCAGTTCGATCCCCTCCCCCCTCCTTTCGACCGCGCTAGTCTCAATCGTTGAGTGAGCCAAAAAATACCTTCTCATACTGGTGTTCTTGAAAGCGGGTTACGAGTGGAACACACACATTTTTCCCAAATACATAAACGAAGATGGTAAGTTGGCTGTGCATTATGATACTATTACTAATATATACACACCAAATCAACAAAACAAAAAAAGCTATAAAAGATTGAAAGTAGTGTTGATGGAGGCAGAAAATGTAGGTAATTTTATATATCACAATAGAAGGCCATACACATTTGACCTCTGTTAATATTTCTATTTTTAAGCTTCTACTTTTACAATCCCTTTCACAACAGCACTATACCCCTTTTTTCAACAGTAGTTTAGTTTAGTTTAGTTTAGTTTACATACATACAGCTTGACCAATTAAAGAATGAGCACCCACTACCACAAAATATAACCAGCAGCAGGTGAATGATCCAAATATCTCCTGCACCAAATACCCATACAAATCGTCTGTTGATGCACAAATCTTTAAGAAAATACCATCAAATATGAATGTTATTTACTTACCTCATTTAAATGTGCAAATATCAAGAGGTGAAAGCAAAAATTCTATCTGAAATCTTGGTCCGGCAAATTGGACACTCGGAACATGCAACTGAGCAAGGTTTACACACTGCCAAAAATTGCAATATAATWRACACACTTAAACTCTTTATCTTATACAAGTGTTGAAATTGCGATATGGGGATTTGGCGACTTACAACTAAAATGCCGGCAAGGAAGAAGCATTGTTGTAGTTGGTGACTCGAAACATACTTTACAAACATGAGAATTTGCATCAACATTCCCATTGTAATTCACCTCTTTCTCCTTCATCTCTTGCATTCGAGCCTGGAAACCACCCATAAGACCATCAAAAGCTACATTAAACAATCGTTTCTAAAATATTCTCTTTAAAAGTCTATCAAAATCAACCCCGAAAATGTCATAATGGTGGACTGCTTCATAGGACCAAACAATTTTGTGCACCTACTAACTAGTTTTTTAAGACAATTTTGAAATAAAGCGTCCTATTAGTCTTTTTATATGACATTATTTCCGAAAGTGTCTTGTTAAAACATCAGTCTTATAAAAAAGTGTGCATAAGACACTTCTCAAAAGTGTCCTACAAAAAAATATGATACTTTAATTTCGAATGTCCCTGAAAAAGGTGTTAGGATTTGGTCCTATAAACTTAAGTCTTATAATACAGTCTAATAGAACATTTGGACATTTTTGGCTTCCTATAAAGCCGATTTTGTTGTAGTGTTGGTCATATGAATAACTAGCTACTCACTGATCAAACAAAAGAAAAGATTATGTAGTTTCTGTAGATGTATGGTAAAAGGACAAAGAAAAATGAATACAGCTTAATGCATATATATAGAATGAGTAATAGCGGATTAACGGACTAGAATAAACGGAATTACCTTTAAACGAGCAACAAGGGGCTCTTCCTTTGGTACGTCATGAGCCATTTGTTGCACATCCAAAATTTGCCTTTCTTTGAGAACAGTATTGTTGAAATCACCATTATCTATTTGTGGTTCGTTCACGTTTTCGTTTCTCTCGGCATGTCCTTCGTTATTGGTGTTTGATTCAGGAACAACTCCTCCTGCCTCTTTCTTCAGCTGAGCAACAACAACCCACATGTTTGCCAGATCATTTTCCAAAGCGGCTTCCTTTTTCTTCGACTCGTCAACTTTTTTCCTGTATTCATCTTCTATAAGTTCTTTCTCTGCCAATGCAGCTTCAAGGCTTGCTTCTCGTTGCTTCCTTGCCTGCAACTCCCTTTTTAAATCTTCTGGGTCAAGGTTCCGTGAGTCAAAGTCATTGTAGCCATCATTTACTCGACCAGATAGCCGTCCATTCCGACCAGGTTTTGTGGCATCACCGTACTTGCGGTTACCACCATTTCCAGGTCTGGAGTTCACCAACTCACGTGCAGCCACCAACTCTTTCTCGAGTTTTGCATTATGTAGCGAAAGTTTGGTGACCTCACCAGCCAAATTTTTTAGTTCAACAGCAGCAGCGGATGCCAATTCTTTTGCATAAGAGGCTTCTTCAGACAGTTTCTGATTCTGTACTGATAATCCACTATTCTCCTCTAGAATTTGAACACGCTCCAGCTTTAGCTTCTCGTTCTTTACCTCCTGCTTAAAAGGTAAAAATAACAAAACTACTAAATTGCTGCATATTATTTTGTTCTGATACGCAGTTAGAACCCAAAATCTGTAACTAGAAAATTTGTTGAAGAAAACGATATAGAAAATATTGCACGCAAGAAAGATTAAAATATGGGTTTTTACTATGAGGGAGGACCATGTAATTTAGAAACAATTTGCAAGACAAGTTACCATGTTAAGACCTCTTTAAGATTTTGGCATTGTACTCTATATGTTATGGTCTTTTCAATCAACGGAAACTATTTAAGAACCAAGACTTTGAAGACTTCTTATGGCTTTGACTTCAGCTTAAGGTCTAGAAAATGATTCAAATAGCGATTTGATAGAACGCTGCTCTTACTAATGAGCAACATAGATTTAGCACATACTCCCTCCATCCCAAAATAACTGTCCACGTTTCTATTCTATTTTGTCCCAAAATAAGTGCTCATTTTCAAAAGTGACCGCATACTTTCCAATTTTATCCTTGATGATGAGATGGAGAAATGTGTAAATATTACATTTTCAGTTAACTAATGGTGTCCCTCTCCCATTGTGGACATTTATTTTGGGACGGAGGGAGTATAATACAACCAGTATCCCACCCCAAGCTTTATGACAATCACCTGATTCTGAATCTTCTTCCTCAGCTCATCAACGTATTCTTCAGATACATGCGGTCCAGATGATGGCAAGGGTTTCTCGCTTTTGGCCACAGCCAGCTGTTGTTCAAGTAGTAATATTCTCTCTTGCAGTTCCTTATTTTCAGAACACTGTAATAAAACGAAGAGTAAAGAAAATCAACAATCTACAATGATAAGATTTACGTAGAACTGCAAGAGTCAAAATAAGGAAATATGTGTGAACAGTGCAACATAAAAGAAAAGGGAAGGTGTATGTTTCCACAACTGAAAGAGTTCACTTTTCGAGGGTGTGTAACATATTTGTACACCAATTTCAGCATGTCTTCAACCAAATGCAATGAAAAGAATACAAATAAAAAAGTTACATCGTTCATTAACTATCCATATATACCTTGTTCTGCAGTTGTTCCTGGAGGATGCGATTGTCTGCTGACTTGATCTGCCAGAGAATTGTTTTAAGGAAAATCATAAATATATTATTGTGATCGGCTCTACCACCAGTATAAATTGGCTTAAAATGCTAAATACTATGCAACACAAAGAAAAGATCTGCAAATATTGAGAATTCTCAAGAAAAATCATAAGATAGCACCATTATAATTAGGCTTAGTCCCAAAATACCACATAATACAATTAGATCAGAATAATAAATGCTTTCAAGTCTAAATGAGAAGAGTGTTACTCATAAAAATGCAGCAAAAAGATGGAAGCAAGTTTTAAAAGCATACGTACCTCTAGCTCAAAACCCTTTTCATCACATTGTGTCATCAATCTCATCATTGTCTATTTAAAAAAAGCACAAAGATAGGCGTGATCATGAAGTTGCAAATGATTACTTAAAAGTTACAAGCTTCACAATACCAACAGCAGAAATGAAAAAGTATATATTAGAAATCAAATAAGTCACCTGCTGCATATCAGCCAACGATGTATTAGAAATTGAAGCTTCATTACTTTCAATAATCTGTTTTTCTATGACCCTCATTTGCCTTCTCTTTTCTTCTATTTCACGTTCCAAGTTATCTATCTGTGAAAAAATATATATTTATAGTTAGCATATGACTTTTAGATCTGTTCCATCATCATAGAGAGTGATAAGTTCTTTAGCTTCTCATTTTTATATTTCCTAAGAGCTCTGAAATAAATGTGCTCTAGGTTATTTTGCAATTATAGCTGATATTCTATGTCAAAGCAAGCTCGATTCGAGTTCCGATAGCCAGTGGTTTAAGCAGCAAAGTTTGTGTAATTCCAATACTAAACCTTCCAATGGTATGGCAAAATCTTAACCAAATTGTTTTTATAACTGGAATGTGAATAAGCCACAGTAAGCAACTAAGCATGTTAAATCCAGATATAGAAACAATCGGTACTTGAGTTTTCGAGCTCTCAGGATCATTTGCAGACTGCTCCACTAAACGTTTCATTGTACTTGAACTGAATGCTATCTCTCCTGCAAGCATTTTAACTTGCTCCACCAGAAGGTCCATCTGATCTATTGAGATTCCACCCTATAATCAAACAAAATCATTCATAACAAAGTTGATATTAAAATCTTTAAAATCTTTAAAATCAAAAAGCTGCAAAACTCGCAGTAAATCTATGGATATGAAAACGACAATCCATGCAAGTGTGTATGCATGTCAAGTTGTCAACCTAAGCTTATACACAGCTAAAGAAACAAAATAATGGTTTGCCACATAGCTCTGAACTCAAAAGCAATTTCCCAATCATATGCATTAGAACAAACTATTTCTTTCTTTTCCGTAGAATAAAAACTAGCATTTATCTAAGGTGTTATTTAGATTTAAAGACTAAAGCTTGGCAAATCCAACAAGGGCATTTGACTAGGAGTACAAAGCTGGGTATCAAACAATCCATGCATAAAAGGAGAGTCTTGGAACATACTGTTAGCAGTTTTGCACCACCAGCAGAACCATTAATAAGGTCACCCGCTTGAGTTGACTCTGTGATAGTGCTACCTGCTGCTGATAAGTTGCTGGAGTTTCTTCTGTGTTTGAGTTCATAAGATAATTCTGATGGAGAGTCATTCAGATTCTCGCTTTGCAAGAGCATAGAAGCATTCTGAAAAGTATGCAAAGACAAAACAATCAAGCTCAAGTCTCATAGATTAAAATGCAATCAAGCAATAGTTTGATTTCAGAGCACAAACGAGGTTCAGAAATTTGCATTAAACCAGGTTCCACAGTGACAGAAAAGGTTAGCTAGCCAAAGTTAAGCAATTCATGTTTCAGACCAAAAGGCCACATATAACAACCACCTTGAGAGGTTACACCAGCAATACAAATATGCAGATATTCAAGGTCTAAACACCATATCTGATAATTGAAGCAAACTAACAGAATAGTGAAATCATATAACCTACATCATCCTCATTGGTGGAGAAACTCCGTTGATGAGCAGATACATCAGTCAATCCAGGAAGTGTATTTTTTGAGGAAACAAGTATTAGCTTGGTAAGCCTCTGAATTCTACTCATTAGAGCTGCCTTGGCTTCTTCCTCCTCCTCCAGGCGTGATTGCATCTTTACTTGTCCTTCTTCTAACTATTAAATAAATAATGGTCAATAAATCTATCAAGAGATATATGCATGGTTTCTACACTAATAATGATAACACTGAAATAGTGTTCAATCGGAAATCTGGTCTGCTATTTGTCCCTCATAAACCACAGAATCCATGTTTGAGCATACAAGTACCTTTTGCTTTAAGCTCATTATCTCCTCAGGATTAACACCTACAAGCATCCCCCTCCTTAGCTGATCAAGCTCTTGTTTGAGTACTGATATTTCTCTTTGGTACTTCTTAATTAAAGACTTTTCATCAATAATCTGGAAGATGATGTCGAAGACAACAGCATATAACAGTCGGCTTAGAATTTTTGTTTTGAAATTTATGAAAAATAAATCAACTGTTAATTTTCATAGCAGACCTTGTTCCGAGAAGCATAGATTTCGACACGCTTCGCCCTACTTGCAAATTTTAATGTATTGTGTGTCTCCTCCATATTACTAGAAGCTGGAGTTATTGTGCAGATGAGCTGGTTAAAGAAGTAAAGTTTGAATGGAGGTGAGGCCGTGAGGGAGGACAAGACAAAAGAGCAAGTAATTTATCAGATTGCCAATATGTTCAACTAAATATTTGATCGAATAGCATTCCAGTTTTTTTATACTTACAGAAACATGTCCATGGCCACTAAGTGAAGACTGTAGTAGGCGGGTAAGCTTGGAATCTCTATATGGAACATGAGATGCCTTCCCCTCACTAAGCTTACCAATTACCTGCAAGTGCAGTTGAAATAAATTTCCCAAAGAAATAAATTGCATAAACTGTTTATAATTGTCAACAGCAGAAATAACAGAGTATTGGCCGATATATGAATGAAATAAGGCCATTGTACAAGCTGCCATTGTACCAGGTTGATGAGCGGAAAAGAAATTACAGATTTCAGAGTGGCATTAGCTACATATTGTCACATCATTAACACAGGGTGTAATGTATAAATTAAAAGTGCCTAATGATGCTCTTTTGCGATTAAATATGCAGTTAATGTCACATCTGTGTAAAGATTAATGTTAATAAACTTTCCAGCAACATCATGACTTACAGTTCCAAGGGTTAGAAGACTTTTGTTAATGTAAGATCCTTCCTTCCTCCTCAGTCCAGTTGTTTCAGTTTTTGAGCTCTCTGATCCCGCTAAATCAATTAGATTCTAGAACAAATAAGAGAAAATGATGAGTACATGACACAAAAGCAATTAACTATACAAAGGATGCTAAGAATCAGTTGAGCATACAAGTTGAGAAAAGATCACTCCATCGTACTCATCACCATGGGCGCTGCTTTCGATCATCTGTCAATTTTAAATATATGTTAAGATATAACTTTGTAGATGAGTAGTCAAAATGACTGTCAACAGAATAGCTAACTTGTTAACAAAACACAAAAGCTATGTCAACAGTAAGGTTAGCGAAAAACAAACAAACAAGAGGGGCGGAGTTACACAGTAAGAATCAAGAGAAATATCTGCGAAGAGCATGGGATTATAAATCTCCAAATCACAAGCACATGTGCGAAAAAAATACAAGTTTCTATGTAGTGGTACATGTGAAGTAAGACAAAAACAAACACAAGACTACCATACCTTTTCCTCTTGCCAAATTAAAGTTCAGAAGAAAAATCCTGGCTCTTTTTAGGAAGTCCAAAATAACCTTGTATTTTAGATATTTAGTTCCAAATGACCAGAGGACTTGTTTACCACAAAAGAGTTTACCTAGTAGTCAGTACTGCTGCTTAAACAGCTTGTGAAGATAATGATCTATCTTAGAAGGTATCACTAATCCTTATTGAGTTGGCACATCCAGTCTCTGTATCAATTACATTAAGAGAAATCCATTCCATTTGTTTCTAGCAGCACGCATAATTTCCATTCATTGTATGGCCACATGCTGACATAAGGCCAGTGAAGGACGTGATATGGGAAAATCGAAGACGTACACAACCATATAATATAATTTAATATTTAATTTAAATGAAACTGTCAGATGAGGAGGTGAGGAGGAGGGGAAGGCCAAGGAGGACAAGGGAAGAGCAATTATGGATGGACATGGCGGCCTCAGGCATTTCTGAGCATGACCTCTGATCGGAGTACTAACGGAAAACTAGGGTAGCAGACTAGATGTGGGGACCTGTAGCTCACATAGCGGCAGAAGGGAGTTGGAGAGGCTTGGGAGGTAGAGGGCTTGCAGATTAGGTTAAGGTTGTGTTTTTGCCTTACTTGCTCGGTGTTTTTTTGCCATATTTCCTTGTGCGTGTTTCACCTTACCTTCCCTTGTGTATGTTTTCATTGTACCTACTTGTTATCTTTTTCCTATTTTCCCGTTCTATGTTCACTATGTGCAAATCTCTGGTCATTCTACATGCCTGCTCACACTCTTGCACAAGCCGGGGGTCTTCAAGGAAACAGAAGCTCTACTCTTTGAGGTAGAGGTTAGGTCTGCGGTCTGCATACAATGAAACTTGGTAACGTTCTGCCAGCTCAGCCAATATTTTGCAAGCAGAACCTATTGAAGCTGAGAATAAATTATTGGGCCCTCCAACTACCAACTTAATATTTTATTGCAGTTAGCGACTCAACAAAATTCTTGCAGAACATTGTTTTTTGTATGAATTCTCATTGTAAGATATGGTCACCAATAGACTCCTCCGTTCTGCCTCAGTGTTATAATGCATGGTAAGCCAATGAAGCAACAAGTAAATCAGATCATAGGAAACATAGCATGTGGTTATAACTCGAGATGATCAATAGCCAATACCAGACCTAAAAAATATTATCAAGGATAAGAAATCAACAAATGCTCAGAAATTGGACGTCTGTGTAAAAGAAATGAACATAATAAGCCAGATGTTTACATACCAGAGTAAATATCGTGTGACTACGGCTACTAAGCAGATTAAAGTTATTTGAACCGACATGACGGTGCTCTGCATACAGAAAGTAGTCAAAAAAGATGGAGATTACATAAAAACATAGATGCACAAACATAACCACAAACAGATGGATTCAGCAGTACCTTCACCAGCAGCGATAAAAGAAAGGGCATGCCCAGGGGATAAAACAACCTCTTCCTTTATACCCTCAACATATGTACCCTATGAAGGATAAGGTAGCATTATTAGGAGTACACACATACATACATAAATTGTGCATATAAAGGTAGCCCCAGCCCCACATAACAAGATGGAAAAACAATAAACAATTCAACTTTAAGAACTGTTTTGTGTTATTATCTATGAAGATACAAAGCCACTACAATGATGTAAATATCTAATAATGGTCTCGAGTCTCAGACTCCCCTTTGATGTGTTGATGTTGGAGCTAGGAAAATGAGTGATCTTTTAGCACATAAGTGAAAGAATTTAGAAATATAAATACAATTAATTATAGGTTATTCGAACATATGAGAATTAAAATTTGATACAAGTATTTTCTTAAAGTTATTAGTTTCATTGTTCTACTAACACAATTATAAAAAAAAAAAAAAAGGGATGATTTGTCCCCTCTTCTCTCCAAGTTGAGAAAAATTGATTGATGAACTCGGGTTGAAAAGGTTGATTAATTTCTATTTAGTTTTTAGGAACACCTAATTCAACAATTAGTTGCCAATCAAAGGGGTGGGGGGAATAACTCTAGAGGGGAGATTAAGTGGCCATAGCTAAGTGAATGCTTAATGCCTAGGCGGGAGCATAAGCAGCCCTAGTAACGAATATCAAGGAAACACAGAAGACAGAAAATCAGATGTATAGTTACTGCAGAAACCTGTGCATCTTCTCGAACACGAAGATTTTGTCCGGTTGGATCGAGCAAATCATTGATCACCTGGCACAAGTAGCATATTGAGACAAAGCAAATCACATAAAAACTCCAATTTGATCCTCAAGGAAAGATAAATAAATACAGGCATGCCAGAGGATGCCAAGTCCATACAAGAAAGCTTCACAAGTGACACAAACAGGAACAAAACAGAGAAGACAATGATTGCTGACAATGATTTGTGTTATTACTGGAGGTGAAAAGTTAACATGAAGTATATTTTCTTTTTGCCGAGTTTAAACAGCCGTCCAAGTGGTGTACGGGTGTTACTAACCTCATTGTAGATCTCAAGATATGATACACGTAACAAGAACTCCCTTCCTGGAGTCTGCAATGTGAATATAAGGAGTTTATTACTCATAAACTGTGCTCCTGAAATGACAATAATAAACCAAGTGTGGCACAACTCTGTACAAATATCAGATATGTATATAAGAGATGTGCATATGTGTGTGAGAGATCACGAGATAGATAAAAAAAATGTTTTATGGAAGTAACTGATTGCCATATGCACTTCAAATATTAATAGAGAAGGTTCCAAGAAACACTTACATCCTGAATAATGCTGAAAACATCCTTTATAGCCAATGGTATTATTCCTGGAGAATGGTGATCACCCTAAAAAAAATAATTGAGGAGTTTTGAACAACACACACACAGAGAAACCAAGCTTAACTGAAGGATTGACTAAAGACATAAATCATAGTAAACCCTTTATACAACCAGGATAATCGTATCATATTCCATCCCAAATCAAATCAGCATATCCCTTTGATAATTTTGTGACCGAGTCACAGAGCTAGTAATATGTATCCCAACTAGATCAAGCAAATAATAAAGAATCATTCTTATCAAGAACTATCTAACCAGCTATACAAATAGAGTGGTCCCCACTAGTTTACTTTCTAATTGGTGCCAATGACAGCTCCTCTGCTAGTTCTGAGTTGATGGAGTTTACTGAATGCAACTCAAGAAATGTAACAGTTAACACTAAGGGGGCATTTGGTTCGTCGGAATCTGATGGAATTGGAATGATCAATTCCGTTGACTAAATTCCATTCCAACGTTTGGTTACCCATGGAATGGAATTGAATTCCAAACATTCCCTCATTTGAGGATTTCACCATTCCTTCCTAAAACTAATGGAAATGAAATCCATTCCATCCAAAAATGTGTAAATGACAAAAATACCCTCATGATGCTTCCAGTTTCATCATCGATCGATTACTGCTTGCTTCCAATTTCTGCTTATGATGCTCGCCCTCCAAATTCTCGATTCAAAATCAAACACAATGTAAACGCAAACCCCAAAATCAAACCCAAATCAAGCTCTATTCATATTCTGAACCAAAACCTTTTGCTTATGTTACAACAATGGTCAACCCAGAACATCGACGGAAAAGCAATCCATGTTTGTGAACAGGTTAGAAGTTGTGGAGACGAGGGGACACCGGTGAGGGTAAAAGGGGTTTAGGTTGTGCAGGTTTTGCGTTTGGTCATAGAACAACAGAGGGTGTGACGAGACGAGAAGGCGAGCAGTAGACCTGAATCAAGATACCGGACGAGTAGCAGAGATGAATCGAGACTCGAGAGACAATGAAGGGTAATCCTGGGATGTGGCGGAGAATGATACGGTGAAGACATGGAAGCCAAATGTGAATCGAGAGACAATGAAGGGTAATCTTGGAATTGAGAGACAATGAAGGTAGATGAAGATGTTGGTAAGGAAGAGAAAGAGAAGAAGAAGAAGGATGCAGATGAGGAAGCTGGTGAGGTGCAGAATGGAGAAGAGAAGAAGAAAAAGAAGAGGAAGCATGCAGAAGCTAACGAAGCAGAAGCAAAATCGCCAAGTAAGAAGCTATGCTGTTATATCGGTCAGAATACGAAATATCGGTMAGGACCRATATTCGATATATCGGTTATATCGGTGATATATCGGAAATAGCGGTTAACATAATATTTCTTAGAATTATATATATAATATGCATTAATTAGAGTTTAGAAGTCTGAAGACTGAAGTTGAAGTCGAAGTGTGAAGAAAAGTCGAGACTGAAGACTGAAGACTGAAGAAGTCGAGACTGAAGACTGAAGACTGAAGAAGTCGAGACTGAAGTGTGAAGAAGAAGTCGAGACTTGAAGTCGAAGTCGAAGTCTGAAGACTGAAGTTGAAGTCGAAGTGTGATTTGTGAAGAAAAAGTCGAGACTGAAGTTGAACGTGAAGAAG